GTAGAAAGCCTCATCTTTCTCCCGCAGAGCAGCTGGTAGTTTCGAACCGCTGACCTTAAGGTTCGCAGCCCGATTCGTAACCACTACGCTACCAAAGCTCCTTAAAAGTACACTACGATGCCCGAATTTACAATTATTTTACTATGGATTAGATTAAAAAAGGTTTATATCCCCCCAAATTTAAATTTATATTAAGGTATATAATTACATATTCCAAGGAGCTCTGATGGCTGCTAGCCAAAAAAGAGCAGTTCCAATTCACCCAGAGACGCCGTGGGAGGAAGACCTGATGACTTGCTTCCTTAAAGATTTGTTGTTATTGTTGTTGTTGCTGAGTGCCTTCAAGTCAGTTCTGACTTATAGTGACCCTGTCCAGGGTTCCCAAGAAGTGGTTGGTGGGTTTGAACTGCCAGTCTTGACTAGGAATTCCTATGGGGTGATTTTACTTGGTCACATTGGGTCACTATAAGGTGAAAATCAACTAGATGCCACCTAACACAACTGCAATTATATATCCCAAGTGTTTTAAGGCCTTAATCAATAAGTTTGGAGTTACCCTTCTACCATCAATTTGAAACAATTCTCCCAAAAGTTTTCCTTCTGGATTTCTTACTGTGATTATAGTTTCTCTCCCTCCCATTCTAAACTTGTCTAATTCTCTCTTAGCTATCTAGTGCTATTATGACAGAAATACCACAAGTGGATGGTTTTAACAAACAGAAATAAATTCTCTCACAGTTTGAGAAGTTAGAAGGTCAAATCCAGAGCACCGACTTTGGATGTTGCCATTCAGTAACCATAGGCCTAGCATTCCTTTGAGGTCTGCACGTGTCTTGGCATCAATCTTTCTTCTGATCTAGGAGTGTCACTGTGCAGGGACCCCAAATCCAAAGGACACATTCTACTCCTGGATCTTCTTTCTTGGTGGTCGTAGGCCCCTGTCTCTCAGCTCACTTCTTTATCCTTTCATCTCTTCTAAGATAAAAGGTATTACAAGCTACAACACTGGGAAATTCCCTTTCATCGAATCAAGGTTGTAATGAGACTAAGGGAGGCATATCTCGCCCTTGGAGTCTTGGTGTTGCGCTGGTTAGCACGGGACTGCTGACCATAAGGTTGGTGGTTCAAACCCACCAGTTGTTCCCTGGAAACCCTATAGAGGGAGGCTGAGTCAGAACTGACTCAATGACACTTAACAACAATAATCCCATTCTTAATTCTCTATCACATCAGATCTCGTGATGGGAGATCACCACTGAGAATCATCGCCCAGCCAAGCTGATACATATTTTGGAGGAACACAAATCAGTCTATGACAATAATTCTCTCACATTTGGAATCTGTATCCAAATGCTTTTGCTGTTACCACTGACCCACTGAAATATATTTTTAATGTAGTATGCATCAAATTTCTCCACTACAAAGTTATTATTTTCCCTTTGCCATTAATAAGCACTTTGTGGAGAGACCCTTTCATCAAACTTTCCTCCATCAGTTTTGCATTCATTAATGATTTTCTTTTGTTATTAGTTGGCATTGTGTTGTTGTTGTTGTTGAATTGTGACTATACGTATACAGATCCAAAACTTGCCAAGTATTGTACCATCTTTATAATCATTGTTATGTTCGACTCCACAGTTGGCATTCTAGCATAAGGAAAAGCTTTTCCTCCTTCCTTATTTATTTTAGTAGATTTGTGGATTTTAATTTTTTAAGTTATAATCGATAACTACCATTATTTATTTTTATATTAAAATTGTCTCATCTTTGGCCAGTGGGAGACCTTTTGACCTGCCTGAACCATTTTTTGAGCACCTCCTAATTTTCTAGTATGATATTTCAGGCTCGTATTGTACTTTACCTGCTTCAGCTCTGAAACTGCTTTTTTCCATAAGGAGCTCTGGTTCCTTTTATTGGACATTGCGAATGATTTTTATTTTATTGATTGATTTGGAAACTAAGATTGCTTGTGCTATCCATTTAACCCGGCGAATTCTACCTATAGAGTTATATTGTTGTTGTTAAGTACTGTGGAGTCCGTTAGGACTCATAGCGACCCTGCACAGGGTTTCTGAGGCTGTAAATCTTTATGGGAGCAGAACGTCTCCTCTTTCTCCCGCGGAACCTCTGGTAGTTTCGAACTGCTGACCTTGAGGCTCACAGACCGATTCGTAACCACTACACTACCATAGGGTGATAGAAAATGTAAAACAAAACTCGAAATTATTTATTTTTTTAAAAAAGACCAGATTTTCTTGGTCAGAAAGAGACGGAGGAGCCCGAGACTGCGGCCCGTGATCTATCACCCTTCAGGTTTGGAAAGGAATGCACTATCATTGCCCAATGTTCAGTCCAGATAGGCATAATGGAGGGATCAAAACACTGGTAAGGTATGCTCACCATGGTCAATCACTCACAATCAAAAGGCCAACATACCTAAGGACAAAGTTGAGAAGTAATGGTAGGTAGGTGGAATGGAAATAGGAACCACATGAAGAAAGTGGGATAACTGATGTTGTTGTTAAGTACCCTGGAGTTGGTTCTGACTCATAGTGACCCTGCACAGGGTTTCCGAGGATGCAAATCTTTTAACGAGCAGAACGCCTCATCTTTCTCCCGCAGAACTGCTGGTAGTTTTGAACTGCTGACCTTGAAGTTGGCAGTCCGACTCGCAACCACTACGCAAGGAGGGGATTAAAATCATTGAGATGAAACAAAGTGTATGATGTGTTGAATGTAACACTGATGATCTAGTCTGTGAACAGTCACTCAATTCATAATAAAAAGTTTAAAAATATTTTGTAATTGTCTTCTTTCGCACACAATCTAACTAGAATTTACATCTCATTGTATGTTTGCCTTTAGAAGAGATGTTATTTTTATTCTTTCTTAATAATATCTCCATTTTAATCCAGAATGATTTACGTAGTTTAGACAGAGGCTCATCACACTGAACCGATTCCCTGTTGCCCTTTTTAAGCACCATCAGGAGGGAGCATAACTCCATGGGTGCAACACAGACCTGCATCCTCCAGAGTTCGCTGTGCTGCGACCAAAGCAGCTAAGGCGCTTCCTCAAACCTGGAGCTTCTGAAACACTTTGCAAGGACACCGAAGCGGGGGCACGTGAGCGCCCCGACTTCCTCCCGACCCCGCCTCTGATTGGCTCCTGGGGCACATAAGAATCCAGTGACTGAGCGGCTGTTGTGGGCAGAAACTTGCCGAAGGTCTTTGGTTGGCATCGCCCTTTTCTGCTCACCAGCCCACTGGCGAGCCAAATCTGGAGAGGATGAGGACGTCCTGTGTCCTGCTCACCGCCCTGGTGGCGTTGGCCGCCTACTACGTGTACATCCCCCTGCCCAACGCCGTGTCTGATCCCTGGAAGCTGATGCTGCTGGACGCGACTTTCCGGGGCGCACAGCAAGTGGTGAGACGCAGCCCAGAGCTGATAAGAGAAGCTCCCTTCTCTTAAGCATTATTGGAAGGGGAAAGAAAATTTCCGGATAGTGTCTCATGAGAATGCATTTTTTTTTTTTCTAATGCAACCGTTCGATCGCTTTTTAAGGTGGTTCTGTCGGGCATTTTCAGGGTGTTGCATTCGTCTCCTTGCTAGCAGCCGGCCAGATTGGTGTCGACTCGATAGCGTGGTGACGGAGGAGGTGCAGCTCTTGAATAGAACTTGGAAGCTGTCCTAAATATCCCCTCTTAATCTTGGTTTGCAACGTCAAAAGAAGAAGAAAGAAATCCGCATTTTAAAAACCACTCCTCCCTACATTCTCGTTCTCCTATGAGAGTTGGCAGAGAGTGAGTTAAATAGCTTAGAAGGAAGGGCTCTAGAAAAACAAGCTCCGACTCTGGGGAATGCTACCACCTTAAAAACCGAAACGGGCACTGGCCCTCTCCCAATGCCCCCTGTGTTTGGAGCGCTCCATTCTCTGGGTAGTAGGCCCGGACTCCTCCGAGCACTTGAGGAACCCATTTCATCCCTGGTACTTCTCAGCTCAGTCCAAGAAAGGAGTCCAGAAGACAAGGCTGGCTGGGGAGGAGAAAGCAGAGGCGGGCGGCAGCCGGATTGCACAAAACATTTGCTTTCTTCTCGCCCTGTAGCATTGTATTAAGTCCCAGGCTGTCAAGGAGATGATAACCTTTGTCTGGGCCAGGATAGCTTGACTTTCACTTCACTGGAGGGTTCCGATTCTCTCTACTTTATTATACGTGTGGAAAATGTAACTGTCTTTGGTTTGGTCCAGAGTAAGAGACATAATTTTCAGTGCCATGGAACTCACTGCCATCCGGTTGACCTGCTAGGTTGTAAATCTTCACGGAAGCAGACTGCCACATCTTTCTCCCACTGAATGGCTGGTGGGTTTAAACCACCTCCCTTTCAGTTACCAGCCTAGCTCTTAACCAATACACTTCCAGGGCTCCATTCTTATTGCCAGAAAATCTAAAATCTAAATACAGTCTGCAGCTAAGGCTGAGGCCTGTGATTGGACAATATTGCTGAGCAGCCTGCTCAACCTAAACTAGCACGCCTTCAAAAACTAGTTTTTCCCTGCATCCAACCTTGGACTTTAATCTTAGGGGGTTTTTTGTGTGTGTATGTGTGCCTTTGTGTGTGAGTAAACACCTTTCAGGAATGACAATTAGAATGAAATGAGGGGCGGGAGGGAAATAATGCTTTTTCTAGAAAACTTGATGTTCCTATTTCTTGAACGCTCTGTTTGTATGATTACATAGTCTGTGGGATTTTTTTTTTTTTTGCCCTATCAAAAGCCCTCTAGAGGATTGTAGTACATTTCAATATGGTTATGTTTTCCTGAGTCCAGCTACATTCACCATACCCAAGTCCCCTGTTGTGTCTTAGGAAATGGCTATAGACTCCCTTCCTTCCCTTATTATAATGTTGACCAGGTGGCCCAACCAGCCCCTTCTCTAGCCTTGTTCCAAGAAAGACATTCTTCATGTAGGAAGTCCTGCGGTCCCCTCTTCCCCTATAAAATTTTGTAATTTGGGAATAACACCCCTCCAGGATTATTCTGGAACGCAACGATGTGATGTTTATTTGAGTAGGTTAGATTGCTTTCTACAGTAATTTAAGCATATGAAAATCAGGGAAGAAGAATTAATCTACTACATTGGCCACAGAAAGTATCCTTAGTTTTCAGATCAATGAAAGAGCTCTCTACATTCAAAGTAATTTGGGAAAAGCCTTTCATTCTCATCTAGAATTCCAATCCGTCAAGAATAAGGTTGGGCAGGATTCTCTACAGCCGTTCAACATGATTGACAATGATGTTTATGATCTTAGGTCACAGTGATAGGTGAGGTAACATGGGTCTTCAGTTCACCTGCCACCGTAGTTTAGGAGTGACTCTAGTCCCTTCACTTCTGAATTGTGAAATACATAAACAGCCTTTTAGACCAGATGGTACCATATTCTACCCAGTTAAGCAATTTACCAGGTTTGCTTCAAATTATCCTGGGAAAGACAACATGGCCTGGTAGTAAGAGCATGAATTTTAGAGTCAGACCTTCCTGGATTCCACTTCAGCCTGGCCACTTATTGGCTATGAGGCCAGAACATTTATTAACTGTCTCTGAACTATAGTTTTACCCCATAATATAGGTCTAATAACTACTTTGTAAGGTTTCTGTAAGGTTTAGTCATGTATTCAAGTGTCTGGTCTTTGGTAAATGGTACTTGTTATTGTTCTAAGACTTGTTTTTAAATGTCTACTATGGATTTGGGTAAAATCTGTGGGATTGAGCAAATCTGTTGAAACAATAAAACAAATGTAAATTGGAAGGAACATATCGTTGAAGTCTCTAGAGTTACTACTAAATTGTATTGCATAAAGTTTGTAACCCAAATAATTTTAGTTTGCATTGATTGATGCAGTGTCAAAAGCAACAAAGCTACTTTAGAGATTAAGTGTGGTCCAAAACTACAGGCACCTGCCTAACATGAGGAAGTGTGAGCACTGCTTCTATTCTGTTGTTATTGGCAAACACTTAACCTCTGCCTCTTCTTATCTTCTTTATCTTGTACAGGCAAGTCTGATGATTAAGCTTACGTTATTCACACTTTTCTTTAGAATCGTTCTTGAAACACTCATCTCGAACATGGATTCTGAATTAGAATCACCAGGGAACTTAAAAAATCTTGATGTCAAAGTCACACCCTATACAAATGTATTCAGTATCATTCGGAGTTGGGGAGCTGGAGGATGATGAGAACCATACATCAGTGTTTTTTTGTTTTTCTTTTTGAGACTGTTCACAGCAACACACACACTAATTCAGTAGTTTCTACATTTACAATTTAGTGACATTGAGTACATCCTTCACTTTGTGCAACCCTCCTCACCCTCCTTTTGGACTCCTAGTGACCCTGTATAGAGTTTCCGAACAGTGGCACCGACCTTGGAGTTCAAACCGACCTTGCAGTCCAGCACATTAACTCGCATTAACCTGCAGCACTACATCAGGATTCCTGGTGTTCCACCCCTATTAACATAAATACATTGCCCCCCCCCCAAGTGTACCAAATCTTTTGCATTTCTAATGTATTCCCATAAAGATAGTTCTTAAAGAAGGATAATTCTGAAGGCCAACATTTTGTACTAGTTAGGCTAAACTACTGTTTGGTTTTAAGAAGACGCCAGTATATTTTTAGTTTAAAGTTTAACAGTTATCGCAGGGCAGTAGTTTCAAAGGTTCTTCCTTTCCATGACTCCAGAAAGTTTAGAGTCTATGAGAATTTAAAATGCTTTTCTGTATTTTCCCTCTTGTGATCCGGATTCTTCTGTGGAATCTTTGATCAAAATGTTAAGTAATGGTGGTGTTGTTAAGTGCCATCGAGTTGGTTCTGACTCATAGTGACCCTGGATAAGGCTTCCAAGGAGCAGCTGGTGAGTTTGAATGGCCAACCTTGTGGTTCGCAGCACAATGCTGATCCTCCTGTGCCACACCAGTAGCTGGTGTACAGTCCAGTTCTGCTGGACTCATGGCAAAGGAGGCAGTTGTTTATGGAGGCAATTAGTCACACATTCCATATCCTCTTCCTATTCCATTCCTGACTTTCCTTCTTTCTCTGTTGTTTCAGGTGAATAGAGATCAATTGTTGTGCCTTGGATGTCCACAGGCAAGGTTTAAAAACCTTAGGCACTATGCAACAAACTAGGAGGTAGAACAGAAGCCCTAAACATGTTATTAAGCCAATTAACTGGAGTGTCCCAGGAAACCATGAACCTAACATCCAAATCCAAAACTAAATTATATGATTGGGTGTACAAAAGCAGCCTGAGCAACTACTTTTTTCTTTCTTTCCTTTTCTTTTGTCACATAACTGCCAATTCCTGGTGTGGTGCTGAGAGTTAATGTGTTGGACTGCAAAGTCTGTTTGAACCACAATGTCGGCAGTTCAAGCTCACCAGTTGCTCCTCAGAAACCTGTTAAGTGCTGTCGAGTCGGATTTGACTGATAGCAAACCTGTGTAGGGTTTCTGAGGAGCAGCTGGTGTGAGCTTGAACTATCAACCTTGTGGTTCAAACCAACCTTGCAATCTAGCTCATTAACCCACGGCGCCATACCAGGACTCCTCAGAAACCCTATACAGGGACACTAGGGGTTGGAACTGACTCGATGGCAGTTAACAACAACAGTGAATTTATTGACAACAATTACAATAATGAGCTGTGCCAGCCTATCCTTAATCAATGATATTTTTCCATTACCATTAACTCCCCTTCCCCTCATCTCTCCTGCCTCTGGTAACGCTAATAAAGTTTGTTCTCAATACATTTGCCTTTTCTTGTATTTTTATATAAGTGAGGTCATTCAAGGTTTGTTCTTTTGCGATTGGTTTATTTTGCTCAGCATAATGTCTTCAAGTTCCATCCATAGTGTTCAATCCACCAAGACTTCATTCCTCTTACTTTTCTGAGTAGTATTCCATTGTATGTATGTACCACATTTTGTTTATCTGTTCATCTGTTGATAGGCATTTAGGTTGTTTCTACTCTTTTGGCTGTTGTGAACAGTGCTGCAATAAACAGTATACAAGTCTCTTTATGAGTCTCTGATTTCAAGTCTTTTGGGTATATACCTAAAAGTGGAATTACTGGGTCAAGTGGTAGTTCTATTTTTAGTTTTTTAAGGAACCACCACACTGTTTTCCACAATGTATGTACTATTTGCAATCCCACCACATTTCTCACATCTTCACCAACATCAGTTATTCTCACAAAAATGGTCTTAAAAAATATTAACCATCCCAGTGGGAGTGAGGAGTTGGTGTGGCGCTGTGGGTTAATGTGCCAGACTGCAAAGCCGTTTGAACTGCAAGGTTGGGGGTTCAAGCTTACCAGCTGCTCCTTGAAAACCCTACACAGGGTCGCTATCGACTCAATGGCACTTCACGAC